TTCTTACAGCAACTACATCACGAATTTGAAGAAACTCTTCAAATACCTTTCTTCTTGTTTCATGCAAATAAGGAATTATATTTTGATGGTGGTTTCGTACTCGATTTCGCCAACAACTTGATTAATTGAAGTACTTATTAGGGATTTTAATGAAGTATTATGATTTATTTCGATAGTTTACATTGATTATGATTGCTGAATGTTGTTGTTGTTGATGATGAATTATTAGGGCTGTAGTGGTAGTAGGACCAGTGTTACAAGAATGCATTTTGTAGTGAAAAAACACTAAACAGTTCACTGGGGGTAAATTGGTCATTTTAACCAGTTCTATCCTGTCCTGTCCTGTCTTACCAAACGCTGAACAGCTGTCGTGTCTTGTCCTGTCCCGTCATGTCCTGTCCTGTCCTGTCCTGTCTGCGCACCAAACGCACCCTAAGAGAACACAACTATGTACGTTGTTTACAATTGGATATGTAAAATGCATGACACTCATTGACAGGGCCGGCCGTGGCCACGTGTAGCCCATGCGGCCGCACAGGGCATCAAAGCTTAAAGTGGCATCAAGTTGTCATCTATTACTAGTTTTGGATTTAATAATTTGGGTATTGGACAAATGAGCTTTAACTATAAAAATAGGCTCAAGGCCTAGTAGTGATGAATACTGAATACACATCGTGAACCAATTAACGCCATCATTCCAACAACTCAATCTAATTTCTTTGTTCTTCAAAGTTCGACTATTTCGATTTTCAAGGCATGGAGTTCTCTTTCCAGCCGATTAACGGTAATGAAATTAGCTTCAAGAAATCAAAGATGGAAATCTCGAATGACCGAGTAGAATTTCTACTGTTGATTGAACTTACCGAGTTGTTGTGTGAGTCATATTATGATTTATGGATCTTTAAATCTTTTTGCAAAAAAATCTAAATTTCTAACTGATTATTATAAAGTTGAGTCATGTGGTCGTGTAGGTTACTGACCTACTAGGCTAAGGCTAAGGGGCTTTTGTCATTTTGATAATGAGTCTTCTTCTTGCATATTGAAATATCTGATAATTGAATTTTTCAATGCACATGAGCACATCACTGTATCAACATAGATGGAGCACATTGCACAACATTAACAACATATTGTGATCTTGTTTTAATTATTGGACACTTGTTTTTTGCAATGCATAGCGACATGGATTATGAACTTTACAAATTATTATTGTTCTTTTGAGTTTTGTTTACTTTGAGGTTTGACATTACCGCATTAGATTTAGTGGCCGTTTGATTGGTTTTTTATTAAGTTCTATATGGCTAAAGTTGTTTGTATGAATTAATCTGTTTGTATAAGTTGGAAAAGTTTTTGTTTGTGAGAGTTTTTCGTAGATGTAAGGAGCGTTTTTTTAGTTGGAAGGAACATGATTGGAAAAAAAAAAACTTGGCTTTGTATATAAAGCTCCCTCTAGAAGCTTACCGGATAAATCACTTTATATATCATTAAGCCACTACAAAACAATCATGCATAGTTGAACGAATAAGCTGGTAGTTCCATTAAGCTTATTAAGCTGTTAACAGATAGACCCTTAGCCTTTAGTAATTAGACCTATAACTTTTGATTTTAATTTTTGCTTACTATGACAGTAATTTGGATGTAATTTACTATTTTAGTTAAAAACCAATTATAGTTTTCCTTGTCTTTCAAGTGTCATATATTGAAATAAAGTTTATATTTTGCTAATTTCAATTTGAAAAAGGGAAAACTGGAAAAGAAGAAAGCACGATCTTAATCTAGGATCTATCCTTTTATCATTCTATATTTTGTATTCGGGCTTTTGGTTTTTATGTCACCCCCATTGTATTTTTTTTATTATAATTAATAAAAATTAACATTGGGATGAGACCCTTAGCTTGAATAGGTTCTGAACTCTTAAAAAAAATCGCATGTTTCGTTGTTTCATTGGCTTAAAAAAAGGCTTAGGGGCATTTATTATTATTTTCGCACATGCCATCAAAAATCTTAGGACCGACCCTGCTCATCGAATATATGTATCAACAGCTTAGTTTCTATTTGGACAGCTCCTCCCCCACACAGACCAACAACCCAAACTATAAAGTCACGCCACATAGACAGTCATTTTTCCGGCGGTTCACACACCTCTCTTGATGATAAAATAACCAAAACTCTACCTGCTATATAACTTCAAGCAATAACTAGGATTAATTTCGAGGGGGAAACGAGTAGAATTTTGGGGCTCTATCGATGAGATTGACGAACCCCATGCTGCTGCCATTAATATTGACCGAATCGGTGACTTTTGAGCCAACGGAATGACTTCGATTCTACTCCAAACAAACCCCAAAAACTCATACCTTAATAACTAATCATGGAACTTCGAAATTTGGACGGAAACTTACCTCAAAGTTGATGAGAATTCGACGAGACTACTTGAAATCGTTGCTCCTTTCAATTGGTTTCCCTTTTCCTCACCCTTGAGGACTGCTCTGGAATTGAAAAAAAAGTTTAAGGATGGTTGAGACGTGGGAAAAAAAATGGCGTTTGTGGGAACCGTGAGACCACTTTTTTACATTTGAAACTTCCCAGCAAAATGTTGTAAAGGTAAAAAAAAGTCGAACGTTCACTGTGAATGTTATCTTCACAGCGTTTGTTGTGAAGTTTTAAGTGTAAAAAGATGGTCTCACGGTCTCATGAAAACACGTTGATCTCAAATCATAAATATACTATATATTATCACTAGTTTCACAAACATAGTCTTAAAGTAAAACGTGATTTAGGTAAAAGTTAAAATAAACCAACTTAATTAATGATGAATCATATTTATGTTAGAAGTCCACGTAATTATGTACAAAACAAAAACGTTGCATCTTTACCGATAACCTATTCTTTGGTGTGGCACAGAGTCAATCAGGGCTTCTTTCTCGAGTCTTATCATGATCGCGTACTCGCCCTAAATGGAATCCCTTATTTACGTTGCGGCCCGACCCGAGTCTCCACGTCTGCTTTTCTCCGCCCGAAACCCAAGAAAGAAAGATGGTCACTCCTTTTAGGAACATGGTTCGTTTTAGCGGGGAATCCC